TTATGAAAGGTAGACCAGCTTCATTTAATTTACTAACACTTTATATCAAACATGACAGAAAAATGGAATGATAGACTCCATTCCATTTTCTCCATGATAGAAAAAGAACAGTTATTGGTATAGGCAACTGACTTTCTAACTCACTATTAGTTAGAAAGATATAATATACAGGAGTATTTTTATCCCTCAAGGAAATCCTTGGATTTTTGAAGATAGCACAGGGTTTCTCAAAAGTTACTAAAAAATTAATCACTTCCATATAGTTACATAAGCTGGTATGACACCTGGTACAGGGTAAATGACAGACAAATAATATGCTGAAGAAATATTGTTGACCTAATACAACTTTATTAAAAATACCTACCTTTTCCTCCAATTTCTTCTTCTCTTCACTAAATTGGCTTATTCTTTGTTTGAGAAACTCATTGAGCTGTAAAACTTCTTTCTCAGTAGATGCAAGTTTTTGCTCAAGTTCCTCTTGCTGGGAATGGGACACTGATTCCTCTGAAAATGGAGACGGGAGTGACGTGTTCTCATACTGTGGCTATTGGGAAAAGAAAACAAGGCAGGTAAGACTTTAAAATATTACTTGTCTTGAGCAAATGGAAAGAAATTGGAAATGAGACATAGTACAAAAGGTACTAGAGGCTTTAGCAACAGACAGACCTTGATTTAAATCCCAGCTCTTCTGCTTCCTAGTTAAGTACTATGATTAAAGCAAATTACTTACCATGTCCACGCCTTGTTTTTCTCATCAATAAAATAGAAATAATAAAGCCTACTTTGTAGGATATTTTAAAGAATATGGTATATTAAGGTTCTAGCACATAGCAGAAGCTTAATGAAAGGCAGTTTTTATTTGGTTTAAAAGTATACCTAGAAATGTAAATAGTACATCATATACATTCATTATATGGAAGTAAAAGTTCTACGGAAATAAATAAAAACTAAAGAAAAATTCCTTCACAGTCAATCATTTCCAGCTAATATTAAATTCAATAAGCATTAACAGAATGTTTCCCTAACTAGAAAGTAAGGTCCATGAAATTAGGGATTTTTGTGCATCTTAAGGTGCG